CCTGGAGTGCTAGAGTGATCCCATCTGGTAGTGTGGAGATTTCCCAAACCATAGTCAAAGGCTGGGCTCATTTTAAAAATTGACCTACTTTTACTTTATTTATATGTATATATGTGTGCAGTTGCCCTAGGAGGCCTGGAGAGGGTGTTGGATCCCTTGGAGCCAGATAGGCAGTTGTGAGTTGTCTGATGTGTGCTCAGAACTAAACTTGAGGCTTCCAGAAGAGCAGCCAGTGTTCTTAACTGCTGAAGCATCTCTCCAGCTCCTTTATTTTAGATTTCAGAAATTTTAAATGATCCATGCAACCACTGTCTATTTAAGTGATTTTTGAAAGCACAACTAGAATAAAAATTCCAACCAAATAATAAAAAGGGGGCTCTTTGTCTTACACTAGATTTGCATAGCTTCTATTTATGCTAATGGAAGTTAAACACCTGTTCTGAGAAGGAAATAGGCCCCTATCTGTGAAAATAAATATGTGTAATAGATTTCCAGATACAATGCTCAAATCAAACAGGCAAAACTGTATGCTATACAAACACAGCATCAAGTAGCCTGACTGGAAACATGGCTGTTTTATGTTTTACTTCCTGAGCTACAGGCCCTGAAATATTACTCATATGTTCACCTTTTAAATGTAACAAGAAGTAAAGATGGAGGGAGTGGGTGGACAAACTCAACCTGTTGGTTTCCATGAGCTCAAATACAACTCTCTGTTTACCTCTTCACAAGTTCCTAATAAATTGATTGCATCAGTAAACCTGGATTCAAGCCACTGCCATCTTCATAAGAGTCACAGAGGATAATTGTACGTAATAGAGAAGGACATGAACATTGGGGCTCTGTGCTGGGACTCCCTGAGGCAACTGAAGCCCCAGCTGAGCCAGACAAGTGGGTGATTGGTAGCCACTGATGACACCAGAGTCCTTCAACGGAGATGGCTCCAACGGTGTTCATGGGAAGTTTCTTAAAGTGGTGAGCACAGAGACAGCTTGTGCCACCCTCCTTCATTTCATAAAGCAGGCAGTACAGAAATCTTTTCAAAAGATTATACTAAAATGATGAAAAGAATGGAGATGTACTTGTGGGGAGGTGTTGAAGAACTCTACCTTGGCTTAAGCACTACCGTCGGGCATCTTGTGAGGTTTACAATCTAGCATCTTGTAAGACATAAAAAGAATGATACAGCATGCACTCTATGTAATCACAAATCTAGAGATTTTCCTTTCTCTTTTTCCAATGATCTAGGTCAGAGCCGAATGTTTTATTTATGATTTGTTTTATGGTCAGTTTCCTGGGGCACAGGCTATATAACATGCAGAGCCCATTACAAAATGAAAATACGGTGTATCTTGCAGACTACTATTTACCAACTGCAAGACGGTGACAATAGAACATTCATCTCAGCTCACGGCTGCCAAGCACCGGACTCAAATAAGTCCCACACCAGTGTAACTAGCTGCATTTGTTGAATAAGATTTTTCCCACAAGCTAGCAACTACCTTCTCTTTCAGTCTCAGAGGGGCCCTGGGCAAATCAACAATGGAGAATGGACATGAGAAGGCTTCTCACAGACAAACACCTCTTCAGTTTACTGAGGTCTCAAGGCAAGCAGATCAGCCTTGAGGATTCTGGAACCTACCATTTACGCTCACACACAGAATGCATTTTAAGAGTTATCTAGAGATGTTTTATCTTTTTCCATCAAGACTTTCCAAAGGCCATCATGACCCTGGTGAGGAACTCAACCTTAATGAGGACCAGAGACTGATTCTGAATGCTGATTATGGTAGCACAGCCTACTGACAATTTAGTTCTCAATGCTATATATTTTTTCTTCTTCCTCTATACTTTTTATATTTAAATCACTTCCTGTTCAGGCTCTCTTCCTCTCATCAGTCACATACCAGCTTTGGATTTGACCTCTAATTCTCAACGGGCCAGCTTGTCTTGCAAGCACCCCAGATGGCTTTCTGCAGTAGAGCGGAGTTAGAAGGCTGTAAGGGCACTGTTTGGAGCATATCCCTAAGCATGATAATGCTTTGTCAGTTCTGGGCTGCTGACTGATGTGACAGTTATTACAACAATGGAACATTTGCCCAAGACATAGCTACCATTTCTAAGAAGTGGGCTTCTGCTAAGCAGTAAGAGTCCATCTTTCCCATCAGTACTCAAAGGTTTAAAGCAGGCTTACAGAGATCAGCAAGAAGAAGCAGAAATGACCCTTCACCTTGAAAAAAATATAAGATACTTTACAGAAACACTTAGGAAAAATGATAGTTAGTCTAAAGACGTTGTTAAGTCTGAGCTAACCATTGCTTTGTGTATGTTCAAACAATACAGAAAGAATTGTTCAAGTGTTGACGCCTATCCTGGTTTTCACTCATTCAGAGAAGGTCTGAAAGATTGTAACACTACCTACGCTAAAAAAAAAAAAAAAAAAAAAAAAAATGATATATTCCCTTTTCCTCTCCTAGGAGTGAATTTGTAAGGATAAACAACCCTACAAATTGTTTGGCCTATTATATGTCACAGAGATTTTTCTATAGCTTGTCTAGACTCCAGACAATAGGCGAGACTGGCCTATAGCTGCAGACATTTCTGTAGTCTGTAATATCATTTAGAAAAGCTAGGGCAATAATACAGAAATGAAAACCAGCCTGACCTGCAGCGTGATAGTAGACATATGAGCATAACAACACTTCACAATTTAGAGATGATGATAGTGGCCTAGGAAGGGGCTGAGCAGCCATATGAGCCGAAGCAACTTTTGTAAAATCACACACACTCCCCTGATGGAGTCATAGTCTAGTCATTCTAGTTATAAACTATCAATGGATCTTACTGCAGAACATTATGTCTATGTTGCTCTGTTTTCTTTTCTTACCCAGGATGTGTCTACATACCTGTGTAATATTTCTGTATGTTTGGGGATCTTTCAGGAGGCCTTTATAAAATAAACCAGATCATTATACTAGCTAAAACAAAAGAATAAAACAACTAGTGTGCACTACATAAAAAGAGCTAATGGACATTATGCATTTGATGAAGACAGAGAGTTTTAATATTTCATCTCTCTTCTGCTATTTTTAGACATTTTTCTACTTTTATTCTCTCCCCAAATCAGTTGTTATAAAACAAAACAAAACAAAACAAAAAAACCCTAAAAATCTCATACAAGCAAGAGAGAGAAAAAGAAGCCTTTGTTTGTTTGTTTGTTTAAATTGTTCTTTACTTGATTTTTTTTTTATGTTTCAGAAAACAGCTCAATAATGATAATTGTTTTGTTGCTTAGTTTCACTCTGGTGAAGACCATAAAAAAAACTACATCAAACATAAAGACTACTCATCATAGAAAATATGACTACAAAACAATGGATAATAAATATTTCTGACTCAAATATCAGCCTTTCTCCCAGACTCCAAGCTGTAGGGCACCTGGAGCTTCACCATGGAGGCCAGTGTTGATAGCATTTGTCATTTTACATGTCTTAACTTGTGGCAATCAGGAGTAACCATGGCAGGGAAGAGTGTCTAAATGCAGGACAACCAAGAGATGCTTAACTGTTTTACTTAGCCTTTTTGCATGCTAGGATAGAGAGCCTCATCTCTAAAGTTATTCAGTTTCTATGCCCAGATGAAATCTAAAAACAATATCTAGCTTGTTTGGACATAATCAGCTGAAGAACACCACATAATATGCCATCAAAAGCTCCACTACTGAACAAACTATCTGGGATTGTCAAAGTCCCAGGACACTGATTGGTGAAATCATGGAGATCCTTTCTCAGTATCATCAGGTAAGCTAGTCCACAAGGTAGTCACAGAGGACTTCCTAGGCCTCTGACACTGTACATATGAACATGGTCTATTTCTTCTTTGGAATGCAAATGTTAGATCCAAATTATGTCTAAGCAACTTTATACAACACGCTTACTTGTTTTTCTGGTATTTTTTGTCTTTAAGGGAAAACAAACAAAATAAAACACTCAATCTCACCAGAAATCAAGGTCTTTTATCACTACTTCATCAAGAAGTAAAAGACAACTATGTATGTATGTATGCATGTATGTATATGAAAAGTAAATATAGGCCACAGATTCAAGACTGTTCTGGAGTAAAAGATGCATTATTTTTTCTCATTGATACATCCCATGACATGATATTCACCATACTTTATACATCATAAATAAGATGTGCCGAAAGAGACAGAAATCTCATATGTCATAAATGGTATAAAACATGATTAATCTCAGCCTTTTTAATTGGTAGCACTGTACTTAAGTGCTGTGGTTTTTTTTTTTTTTTTTTTTTTTTTTTTTTTTTTTTTTGGAGACTGGGTTTTGGAGGCTGTCCTGGAACTCATTTTATAGACCAGACAGGTCTTAAACTCACAGAGATCTGCATGCCTCTGCCTTTTGAGGGCTGGGATTAAATGTGTGTACCATCAAGTGCTGTGATTTTGACCAAGTACACTAACTACAACTTCTCAGAGTAAATAACAAATTTCAATTTCAATTTTGTTTTGTTTTTTGAGACGGGGTTTCTCTGTATTTCTTTGGAGCCTGTCCTAGAACTAGCTCTGTAGACCAGGGTGGCCTCGAACTCACAGAGATCCATCTGCCTCTGCCTCCCCAGTGCTGGGACTAAAGGTGTGAGCCACCAATGCCTGGCTCAATTTCAATCTTAACATTATGAGTTTGGCAAGCTTTAGTGTGTCTTGCCATGTGTCCCTGTCTGGTAAGCTGGGGTTTCCACAGCACAAATAGGAAGAGTCCAGATCATTAACTAAAGTGTCCTGTGCATAGAGACACAGGCCAAATTAGGCCCCAAGGAAGTGTTTACAAACTCAATGGAAATTTGCAAATGCAACCAAGAGGGTTCTTGTGGCCCAGAAAGTCTTGTTAATAATTTTGGTAGGTCTTTAAAGTGGATACACAAGCCAATCTCCTCTCCTCAAACAGAACAATAAAACAAAACAAAGCGCTCCAAACACGTACCTCTCCAACATCATAGATCCAAATGCGACCTTCTGAGTCTCCCACAGCAACTTCTTTGCCGCCTTGTGCCCAACGAACACGGTTTAGGGCAGACGCCCCCTCAATGGCCACACTTGCTGTTGGCACCTGACAAAGGGGTTAACGACACAAAAAGGAATATGACTTTAAGTATACTAATCTACAGGTGTGTTTTTCTCCATGAGTCACAGGCACCTTCCTGTGCATGAAGCCATATCCATCCCCTGCACAAGAGTGAACGGGACTCATTGTTCTAGAATCATATGCTCCATTGACCTGAAGGGTAGAAAGGAGGGATACTAACAAAGAAGGGACATTTTTTTCCCACAGTCAAGGTATATCTGTGTGGATTTTGTCAGGTGTCTGTACAGCACACAAGCATGACAGATACACATGATGCTTGACCATCCAGATCATGTGGGATATGTCAAGGTGGGGGGGGGGAGATGCTCCTGTTTACTGAGGATCTACAATAGGCGAGGGAACAATAAATAACGCGAGTCTTTAAGAAAACGTGAGCATACTCGCACTGATATTATCCCATTTATCAACCTCACCAGGGAGTGGGTGGTCAGCAGAAAGGAAGTGCACACGGCCAAGGCTTGAAGGGTCTTAAATTCTCCCCCTTTCATTTTCTTCTTTCTCCAGGTGGCGATATCACGACAGATACAGAGAACGGCCCATAACTTTAGCACTGCCCATACGATGACACCCCATTACCATGTAGTTATCTATGTGTACTATGTGTTTTAATTAACCCTGGAAATCCAGAAGCACTGATAACTGGGCTATTAGTCATGATCACAGTGTGCCAGCAGCACTGTAGTAGAACCCACAGCCATTTGTTTGCTGCAAGAACCTTAGTGTGTGGGGGAAGGGTTTTGAGTCAGTTGAGACCTCTTTTTCAGTGTGTGTCCTCTTGTCTTCAAGGTTGGAAGTTTATAACTGTTTAGAGCTCCTGGGCCTTCTATAAGAATGTTGGATAGGAAGTGACAACATGCCATTAAGAAAGAAAATGGTTCATGTTAAAAGAAAAAGGGAAAAACGATTAAAAGAGAGCATCTCCTGCCACCGTGTGAGACCTGTGCCCAATAAATGTGATTCACCAACATGGAAACATGACATGTACTGTGGCTTAGCACCCCGGCATTCAGCTGCTCATGGATTGAAACCATCTGTTTATATGAAACTATTGAGCCAATACCTATCTTTAAAATAGCAATACAAACTCCATCATATGTAAGAATCTATGTTTAAACTTCATCTTGAAATCAATAAAAATTCTTTTCACCTGCTTAAATCATTGCATGTCAATTGTGAACAAAAATGTAAAGTAAAAATCGCCAGCTCATTTTTTAAAACATACTCAATTTCTACAATAAAGGTGCCTGCTGTGCAAGCCAGAGTCTGAATTTTTAACCAAACCTTGCAAAGAATAAAAACAATGTGAATTTAGATAGACTATAATTCTGTCAATACACTTTATTATTAGTTGTGCTAGCCTGAAAACTAATTCATGACTCAGCTCTGGAACCTTCAGAGTTCATCTTTAACACCGTAACTCAGTAGAATCATATAGGAGTTTCCATGTTCAATATCAAATTTTACCTTGAATAATCTAAAAGTTGAGTAAAACGCTTAATCTTCTACAAACATAGCTACAAAGTAAATTACTAAAAAACCCCCAACTGTCTCAAACAGTTAAAACAATGCCTACTGTGTTTCTAAAGAAATTAGTTTATTGGAAGCATAAGCAATATAGCAAACTGAAGTCTGTTTTAAACAACATGCAAAATACTTTCTTTTTCACAGTTATAAAATACAATAAAATATAAAAATAGGTTATCACAGCCTATAGTGCATGCTAAAAATTAACAAGTAACTGAAGAATGCATTAATATATATGCATTAATTTAAGTGGTATTTGAAGTTCAGATGTGAATGAGTGTGTATTAAAATAATCCACATGGCCTATGAATATGTCTTACTTTCAACTTTGATTTCCTAAGTATTCTCACGTCTTTGGGAACAGTCATTTTAATTGCAAATACAAGATGTATATAGCACAAATTACTAAGAAGGAAAAGCCAGTCGCATCAAAGGTATACAAGACATTTTTGCACAGGAGCAGCAGGAACAAATCAGTTTAAATGTATAATAAATTTGAGGAACAACAAAATAGGCTGGGAATTTATTTAGGCTCCCACAGTCTTTTTTTTTTTTTAAACAAATCTATTTCCTAATCTGACTTATCCCTGAAAAATATTACCCAACTTGCCTAAAGATGAAAAGAATAGGAGGGCTTTAAAAGTGTGAGGTAATGGAGTCAAGCTCCGTGTATTTTTACTGTCACTGTGAAAGCAGACCCACGCTTGTCACAAAGCCCAACAGCATGTGTGACCAACCCTAAGTTTTTAAATGTTAACCATAAAACTCCTCAGTGTTTCTCTCTTTGACACCCACAGAAAGAGTAGGCAATGTCACGACATCACTTTTTTTTTTCTGTTAAAAAACAAAACAAAACAAAAACCCTCAACAAAGTTAGATGGGAGTAATTAAGGAGGGTGTGGACCTCTCCATCCCTTCCTAGGCTTTGCAGCCGGATGTCATGCAAACTTCACCTCAGCTCAGCCTGCTTTCTGATACAGCAAACTCCCTAATCAATCTGGAAAAGGTTTGTTTTTTGGTTGCTTTGGGTGAATTTCTCCTAGTAAATAGAAGCAATATGATTTTAATCAACAGTGATGAAAGACTTTGGGAAGCCATTACAACGTAAGGTAATAGCATTTTACTATTAAAAGCAACGATGTTATAAACATTTCAACATCCCAAATGATGGGCATCTCACTCATGCCTTTTGATTATTTTCAAAGATGTGTTACATAACTTCCCTGTCACATAGTTCTTGGAAGTAAAAGGAGAAATAGGCTGCAATGGAAATACTTTTAAAAGGTGATAGTTGCAGGTATCTGTGCCCTTAAAGATGCCCAGATGCAACACCACCTGAAGGGAATTTCCATGCCCCCTTCCACAAAAAAAAAAAAAAAAAAAAAGCACAAAACCCTACACTCATGCCCCGCTCCTTCATGTCCTCCAGCTGTAGGATCCTTAATTAAAAAGCCCGAACAGCTTCCTGCTCCAAGCACTTCAAAAGACTTGCTTTCCTTGATGTAATTTCCCACCATGTATTCTTTACCTGGATATTTGTATTTAGGGAGAGCTCTCCAAACCCAAAACCAAGAAATGATGCAGAAGCCATTTTGGGACATATAATATTCATGTTCCTTCGATAATAACAACAACAACAACAACAAAATCCACGGGCTCTGACTAAGACCCTCAATAATCTTGAGGGACTGAAAAAAGGAACAAAGCAGATGATATACACTTTAAAAATAATTATTTAATTGTCAACTCTTTTTTTTTCTTTTTTAGAAATAGGCATTTTTCACTCGTTAATGGCTTTAGATGTGACACGTTAAAATCCCAATTTAAAAAAAAAACATGTTTTGTATACATGTTCAAAGTTAGACACTACTGCCTTGAAGTTCAATATTGTAGACAAGGAATATTTCCTTGGTAAAAATTAAATGAATGTTAGATCTCAACAGACAGCAGTGAAAAGAATCATATTTTATGGAGTCAAAACAGGAATTGTACAAATAGCCAACATTGACATAGTCACCCCATTTCAACAATCCATCTAAAAACAGCATCCACACAAGCTTTCTTTTCCAAGTGTCTGCCAACACAGTTATTTCAACACCGGGTGTCCTGTTCCTTAGGGAAAGGTGTGAATAAACCTTGTGCTCTTGAAAAAAAAAAAAGTGTGTGTGTGTGTGTGTGTGTGTGTGTGTGTGTGTGTGTGTGACATGTGCCATGTCAGCAATCATCTACTAAGATCTTCCACAGTTGAGGAATGAAGTAACTTGGAGTTTGGGCAAAGCATCTTCTGGTTCCCTTGTGGATATTCAAGGAATGGGGGGGGGGGCGGGGATGGGGTGGGGAACACAGGGCACAGCCCAGAGGCAATTGGAGGGGTTGTCCACAAAAGGCCATTTTTTGTTTGTTTGTTTGTTTTCCCCAGGAAAAATCAGACTGCAGAGTGGCCCCGGGTGCCCCCTCCCAGCCTGGGCCCGGATGCCTGCACTGCTCACCTCGGTGTCACTGTTGAGGTTCCAGAGGTCCAAGCGCCCCATCCCGTCCACGCAGGCAAAGAGCGCGGGATGCACAGGGGACCACATGACATCGTACACATAGTCTGCATTGTCTTCAAAGGAGTAGAGCGGCTTGTTGTGCTGTAAAGCAGAGAGACCGTGAAGACTTAGTGGCGCTGCTGCCGCCTCGGGCTGTCTAGAGAGCCTAATTAAAAACTTTGCACATTCACCAAGTGTCATAAAACTTCCCGAGATGAAAGTCCTCGAGAAGGTGAACCGGAGCTTTAATGTGACTACAACTGTCCAGTGGCATAAATAAATCCCGGGGGGTGGGGGATACTCTGAATGGGCCGGGGCCGGACCTACGGAGTGAGGCGGTTTCAGACACAGTTGTAAGCGACATTCCAGACAGGTGGACGCGACTGCCATTAGGTTAGAATTCTTGCGGGGCCAAGCTGTGCAAGTCGGAGGGAGCCTGAATCCAGCAGTGGATGCTCCGAAGCTCGGGCGGTCCCTGGGTACCCTGATTCTGCACTGAAGGCAACGTCTGCCACTTAGTGGTCCTCGCTTGTTGCTGCAGCAACGGTGACCGCTTCCAGTCCAACTAAAGGCCAAATTCATATTTTAACGCTTCCTTTGGGGCAAGGAGAGGGAACAAATACCTGTAAGAGGGTTTCAGCTTTTATAGGAAAGTAGGAATCGCCATTCGATACCCTAGCCTCACTAGCTTTCAGGGTTAGTTTACCTGAACCAAATGGAGTGATGTAGCTCATTGTAGAACCGCTGAACTTAACACAGAAAATACACCATCCTTTCCAAATCACTGAGGATTTCTAGGCCCCCTAAAGTTGATGTTCTGAGGGGAAACACTGAACATTCTTCCACTGCATACAAATGCCTCCACTCCAGAGGGATATAATAAATTAAAACGGCACACTTGATTTCCAGTGAATATTGTCACATCAAAATAGCGCAGAAGTCAGAGGCAAGTTTGAAAGTACACCAGAAATAAAACGTAATTGGACTCTATGAATTATTCATTCCATCTGGCTTGTCTTATTCTAATTTCTGCATAATGGCTTTACTAATCCCTGATCAATTAATGTAAAATGAAATTTAAATGATAATGAAAGCCCCAGAGATAAAAGAAATTAACTATTCTTGTATCCTCTGACAGAAATCTAAACAATGGGAATTTTTGTCTTCTTCCTCCAGTCAGCTGTCTGTAGTCACTTCTCAGGCTCTATGGAATGTCTACACAGGCCAGGGTGGTAAGATCAAGAAAAGATAACACACAATATAACAATCAAATCCTTTCTGCTTTGGATATTCAAAGAACACATCTGTAGGGAATCAGCTCCAAATATCAGAGTGAACTGCCAATGCGAGCTGCTTGTGCACGCAAAAAGCCCAGAGCAAATGTGCCGAAATTGAAGTGGAGGAAACCAGTTCTTTAACCTAAATACAATGCAACAGCTTGCTATGGTAGTGACTATAATTGATTTCTTTCTATTATTTGCATTTTTCGACATTTAAAGGTCACTAGTTTGATGCAAACGAAGTTTAGTTTGAAGCAACACAGGTTGGGCCAGTGGAGTGAGTGTGAGTGTGTGTGTGTGTGTGTGTGTGTGTGTGTGTGTGTGTGTGTGTTTGGAGTGTTTCTATAGAAGATAGATGCATCATATTTGTAACTTCAAAACTGTCTGTGAAGGAGTATAATTTGAAAACAATGTTTGTCATTGAAACACCACAAAGGAATAAACTAGACATTTGTCTTATAGTCCTGCATGTTATTACCCTGCAATTTTTACACAAAAAATGTTTTCCATTTAATGTCTGCAATATGATTAGAAGCCAAAATTATTTGCTTATCGGCTACTTACTTACATCTTCCTCTCACTGTCTGTATTACATAATTCAAACTTTTTCCAGAAAATTCAAGTGCCAAGTTATTACCTAATAGCATGATCGTATCATTTTCTGTTACATATATGAAAAAGAAAGTATGGAATATCTGATCCTTCTCTGATAGTTGTATACATTACAATCTAACTCGTTGCAAAAGAGAAAAAAAATGTTAGCACAGACTCTTGATTTTATAGGTAACTCATCACTATTGTTAGAGAATATAGTGCATTTCTTTTAAAGTTGATAGCAGCTAAGACAAACCTGAGTGGATTCTCAGTGTCCTCTCATTCCCTCAGCCAACAGTACAACTGAGCACACAGAGCTGTCGATATGGATACTCATACAGACATGCAATAAACATACAATACACCTGCCATTATTGTTTTGATCAACTAACCCTCCCCCAGCTTGAAACAATCACTCTCCAAGGAGCTGTCATCAGAAGGCATGCCAATCCCCTTAATAACTTATTCTGCTAACTTTTATAGGATGCTTCCTCTTTTTCTTTTTTATATTTTCTTTACTGAGAAGTTCAGTAAAAATTAGAGTCTGTTCTGGAGACAACACTTTTGAAACATCTGGAAATAACTTCCCTCATTTTTTTTTCTTTTTTCTTTTTTCTTTTTTTTCTTTCTTTCTTTTTCTTCTTCTTCTTCTTTTTTTTTTTTTTTTTTTTGCCGTTCATCATATTGATTGAAATACTATTCTTTTCTTGCCTTCCTGCAGTTTTCTCCTCCCCTGTAGCCCCCAAGGCTGAACCTTCTACTACAAAAGTCGCCTTGGAAGTCATGCTTGGCTACGGTAGGTGTGTGCTTGGAAAAGAGAAAGAGGGTTTACATTCTCAAAGGCTGTTTAACCTTCATAAGTTCATGGGTTGGGAAACTTCCTGAGCTCATTACTACAACATCTGGACTCCTATCTGTGGACCAGTAGGTCCCATGTCCTGCATAGGCATAAAACGCACGTGCAGAAATGCCATTTTGTATACTAGTGCTATTTTGAATAGTAATTATACTTTGTTCAATAAAGTATTTTATCATTTTATTTCATTTTGTCTCCAAGGATAGCATTATTAAAGATTGCTTTAAATTCATAGTTTTAAAAATGCATGATAAGCATTAATGTCATGAAATCTTAACATTTTCATAAAATACACTGAAAGCACCTAATCCCAAGCAGACTGCTTTTAAGTTTGTGAAACATAAATTTCAGGGATCACAAACTTTTTATGGCTCACTGGGGCTTGGGTATTGATTTTAGAATACCACAGATTGCGAAAGGATGGTGTGGGAACAAACACCACCAATCACTTTGAGAAGGACTCTCACAGTATCCTTTGTGTATATCAAAGCCACAGAGGCTTCATGATTTTAAACATTTACTCCAGAAAGTACCGAGGTCGTTTAGTTAACTAAATATTGCTCCACAGCGTGTTGCCGTAGACAGTGTTTTGCAAAGCAGTCAAATTTCACTAGACAAACCCCCTTCACCTGCACGTTTCCCTTGCAAATGCGATGTGTGGAAAAAAGGAAACAGAAGAGGTCGTCATCCACACCCTGTGCATGTGTGGCACATGCCACCGAAATGAAACCTCAAGCCCCTAGGTTTCCTCGGATCTCCAGTTGTGTGACTCCAATAGAACACATGAAGCTATGCAACCCAGCTTGCTTTCAATTTGCTGATGTTCAAACAGAGCTAGTGATCGGCCAGCACCAAGTGATGTGAAGGGCCCAAAAGAAGGTTTGCTGTGGGCCAGGCTCTGCACACACATTGTCTGACTTAATCTGCATAAAATTTCTGTAAGGTACATGTTGTTTATGGAAAAGAAAATTACAGCTCAGGAAAGTAAGTAGGTTGTGGAGGGTGGGAGGTAGGTTTTGGTCTTAGGGTTTCTAGTTGTTAAGCACATCGTCTATTTGCATTCCCTCTAGGGTCTTTAGTGTCTACAGAAAAATAAAAGTAAATCTATTACCTCTGTTCTTCACCCTTCTGTGCAATTCAACCAATGTTTCCTGAGCACATAGTAAAAACTTGTATAAACAGTTAAATAATTATTTCTGTTTTTCTCCCCCTAACCTAGTTATTAATGCCATTTAGGGTATCACCCACACTTCTGAGGGGTCGTTTGGTGGGAAGACAGGAAAATTTTCTCTTACGTGCTAGATGGAATGGGAACTGTCTTTTAGCCTGAAGAGCACAGCAAGGGTGTGCCTTGGAAAGTAGAGTAAAGAGAGCAAAAAGGGAAAAGACTCAGATACAGTTTTCTGACTGGGTGCCTCTGGTAACGGCTACAATGATGGCAGCTGAGAGCCAGGAGTAGCAAAGCTAGGACCAGGCAGAAAGGTCATGGAAGGCAGGGAAAAGCTGCAGGACTTGGACAATTTCATCTCATTCCTTGAAACGTTAGTTTTCTTATGTGTAAGATGGGAGCTGGTGTCCTGAGGCTGGGTTCTCCTTTCTGATTCTGGGATGGTTCTGCTGTGTACCACGTTTCTCAGCAGCAAAGATGGACTGAAATAGAGTGTGCAGGAAAGTTTGTTTTTCTAAAGGGCTGCTCGATGGAATCTATTATAACACAATCTGTCTTACGTGATGTTCATAGAACTTGGATCACAGTCTATGAACAGTTTAAACAATTTTAAATGCTCTCTAGAATTTGCAACTTAGTGAAACAATAAGGTAAAACCAAGAAATTGGAGTAATGGGAATAGTAATAGCTTTTCTCTTTGATCAACTGAAAAATAAGAAATACTGAATTTGCATTAAAGAATCAGGCAGTGAAATTTGTTTAAAGAAACCAAACTTCCCAATATGCAGCATTCTGCAGTGAAGACTCTAGAACTTGGCTATGCTTTATAAGCAAACAACCAATAGACTTGCCCATTCTCCAAACTGCTGATTCAGAAATGATTGCCATGGGGTGGCTTTCTGTTCACACTGAGATTACTGAGACTGACATGACATTTTCCTCTGTGTTCTTTGTCTTCTTCATTTATGAAGAATTTAGTCCTCCGAAGGCAGGGAATAGAAAGGTTTGTGTTATAATACTTCCAGACAGCCTCAAACACCCTATGTGCTTATTGAGGTTGGGCTGGTTTCCAAATGATGAACTTTCCAAGCAGACAAAAAAAAAAAAAAAAAAAAAAAAAAAAAGGTACCTGACCTGCAAACAGTTCTTTTGTTGGGGATGGGTTATTTTGTATGGGGTGCTACTCAGACAGATAGGGTAAAGG